GGGACGGCAGCCCGAGATAGGCTGAGGGACCGGAGCAGGGCCGCCCTGCGGCGAGAGGCTGGAGTTTTCGACCGTTACAGCGGCGATGGATGGAGATGAGGAAGGGCAGTTCCACCCAGGTCTGCCCTCTGTCAGGCCTGTGCTGTCGCATCTTTAGTGTTAAGTAGCTGACACGGATCTTAAACGTGGCTTTTGCCGGACTTTTATTCTTGTAATACGGTTTGCATGAAAATGTTACTGTCCGTTAAACCTGGCCCAGTTACTTCGGAAACTGAAAACTAGTAACACTTATAAGAAGATTGTTTTTAAAAAAAATTTTTTGTTTTTGTGTATGGAAAAGTTGCTTCTGAGGACACTTGTGGCAAAAAGTGTGAAGAGTTTCTTGTCAGGCATATGAGTATAGGCGCCTAAAAAATTTGGGTTTAGGAAAGGAGATTAGGTCCTTAAAAGGATCCCACTGACTTTGGGATTTTCCTATTGGAACTCTTGAGCTCAGGCAGACGGCAGGGTGCCTACAAGTCAGACAAACAGGACAGCGAAGGATGTGCAGTATTATCACAGGTGTTTGGTAGGATGGTTATGTGACATCTAACTCTGGACCAAGAACAGATTCTAGGTAAGTTTTTGATACTGTTTTAAAACTTCTTACTTTGCTGCAATGCCAGTCACATAATAAAAATGTTTAAAATTATACAACATTAGAATTCCCTCTAAAGAAAATAGTCCTCAGAGATGTATGTTATTAAGCCTGTCCATACTCAGTGCAAAATTGATAAAGTGGCAGTGGTAGAGGCCTGAGGCATGCTGAGGACCATTTGAGGAACAGCTGAGCTTTGTTCACACAGGCAAGATTTTGGAAGCAAGATGAGCATTAATCTAAGTGCTTAATTTAGTGGAGCTGGGGAGGAACTGAATGTCCCCATGTTGTGGTCCTAATTCGGTATTATCATGTCCTCACTAAAAAATCTCTATTTAATCAAGTATGTGAGTTGAAGGGGGTGTGGTTGCATTGATATTTTGTACTGAAATGCTCTAGAAGATGGTTTTCTCTCCGGCTTGGAATTACTTGCAAGAAAATGTGTCTATTTTTGAGAGGGAATTATCTGAAGGATGTTGTACAGTAGACACAACTTCTGGTTGCTTTCTTGTTTCACAATGGGCTAGTTTCAGTCTTCATTACAACTAGAATTGTTCTTTAATCTCATTTCTAAGATTAGTGACCTAGTTCAGGCTTTAAGCATCACCTAATGAGTGTTTTAGGGGGGTTTGTGTGAAAAGGCAGGTGAGGTGACTGTGATCTGCATAAAAATACTTGTTCTTCAGAGTGGGAAAACACAAAAAGGTGAGGAAAAAACAGTGTTAAGATATTTTAGATTAATTGACAATTACATCTTTATATTTTGGTATACTGTGACTGCTGCTACCAAATAGGACTGCGATTTGTAACTTCTTTACCAATGTAAAAAAAATCAGACAAGTTTAATAGGTGTTTACCCTGAAACAGAGGTAAAAATTTATTTTTTGTGCTATTTTTTTTTCCAGCCTAGTAATCCGTGGTGAAAAGGATGAACAAGCAGTGTTGTGCAGCAAAGATAAAACTTATGACATGAAAATAGCAGATACCTCAAATATGCTGCTATTTATTCCTGGTTGCAAAACGCCAGAACAGCTGAATACAGATCAAGCATCTTGCAATATTATTCATTCACAGGTATGTCTCTCTGGGTTGTTTTGTTTTTTGCTTTAATTCTCTATTTTCTTATTCTCTCTCATTTCTATCTCTAATAATCTTATCCAAGATGCATATGTGAAACCCGGCTGGGATTTAGTTGCCTAAACATAGGCTTCTAATGCCATTTTAGATGCCTTGTGGTATTGGTCTAGCTACAAGCTGCTGCTGCAGAAGGACCTGAGTCTCCTGTAGGTTCTTTGTATACTGACCAGCCCCAGGAGGATGGCTTTATAAACATGCTTTATACACAGGGGGCATGCTATACCTTAACATGTCCAAAATGGCTCTAGGGCCCTTCTTTAGGCGGCTGCACTTTATCCATAATGTATGATAATTATTGTTTCTAAGAAGTAAAACCTTTGGTTAATTTTCAGTGGGTAGTAATTACTTGTGGTAGGTATAAAGAGCTTTCAAAGAAAATCTAATTTTTCAGTGTTAGCAACTATTTTTAAAATATGCTGTTTGAAAATTGATTCTTAGGAGTGCTTTCCCGAAAGGGCAGATTATACCGTGTCATGCCTGAATGTTACTTTTTAAACACAGAAATATATTCAAAGGTGACTCACTTTCAACTTGCATCTGGAAAGTTTAGTTGGAGTGAATGATTTTAGAGTTCTCAGTTTAAAGAATTCATTGTTCTCTGCTCTTCTGAAGCACAGTTAACAAAATTCTACTAAAGATAGTTAGGCAAATATTACTACTAGGTCATTACTTGCTGTGGTGAATATAATGACATCATTGAAGAGTGATCCTGCTTGTCCATAGATGAATATAATAATCAAAACAACACCATTTTTTCTGTGAAGTCAGCAGTTCAGCTAACAGGAGAAGTTAGATTAATAAGAAAAGTAATATTAATATTACTTGGCCTCTTCTCCCAAGTAACTAGTGATAGGACAAGAGGAAATGGCCTCAAGTTGCGCCAGGGGAGGTTTAGATTGGATATTAGGAAAAATTTCTTCACTGAGAGGGTGGTCAGGTATTGGAACAGGCTGCCCAGGGAGGTGGTGGAGTCGCCATCTCTGGAAGTGTTCAAGAAACGTGTGGATGTGGCACTTCAGGACATGGTCTAGGGGACATGGTGGCGCTGGATTAATGGTTGGACTTGATGATCTTGAAGGTCCTTTCCAACCTAGTGTTTCTGTGATTCTGTGAATATATTAAAAGTAATATTAGATTAATAAGAAAGTAATATTCTTCCATATTATTTTTTTGCTACATTTAATGATCTCACTAGTTCTCTGAAGTCACACATGTCAACATAATATAAATGTGATGTGTGAGCCAGCACCAGCAGGATGCAGGAACAACTACAAAACCACAGATGAAATCCAAAGACTAAATTCATTTTCATTACCTCTCCAACTGGGGGATCCTCAAAGCAGCACCCAGGCGGAGGCACACAAGTGGGAACGCAGGTACTGTGGAGCTTGGGCAATGCCAGGGGATCTCCTCCAGATGGAGGGGAGCAGGCTGCAGCATGACAGTCAGGTAGCTGTGGCACACCGCCTCGGCCAGGGCCACCACGTTGGCAATGTGCGTCAGGCAAACCCTGGACTCGGCTGTCTGCTCAACGCAAATCTGCAGGAGCCTGTCGCAGAGCAGGCTTTGCCGCAGCTGGAAGGCCTGGCTGGCGTTCGAGCTGTCACCTGGACAGCAGGAGAGGCACTCCTACAGCTGGGCAAGCAGCTCGCGCATCTGTTCCCAGCTGTCCATCTGGGTGGCGAAATCAGTTCCTTTGAGGTGTTTCATAGGTGACACCAGGATGGTGACTCAGGCGGGCCTCTGCCCTTAACTGCCATGGGCTGCAAGGGGACAGCCTGCCTCACTGCGGTCTTCACCATGGGCTGCAGGGGAATCTCTTCTCCGGTGGCTGGAGCAGGTCCTCCTGCTCCTTCTCCACTGACCTTGGTGTCTGCGGAGTTGTTCCTCTCACATATTCTCACTCTGCTTTTCTGGCTGCTGCCATGCAGTTTTTTTCCCCCTTCTTAAATACGTTATCCCAGAGCTGCTACCACCATCACTGACGGCAGGTCCATCTTGGAGCTGACTGGCACTGGCTCCCTCAGACA